GCAGCGAGGGGAGCAGAAGGACGATGAAGAAAACATGCACAAGGAAGAGACGGAACAATTTGAGGACGACGAGCTCGAAGAGGAAAACATGAATGAATGAATGAATAAATGAATGCCACTCGTGGTACAGTGTGTCCCTGCCTGCTATCAGTGTTCTAAAACGTCCGCCATAAAACCGAACGGACGAAGACGTGCTCCAAGTTGGTTGAAATTCGGCCTACCCGAGGAACAATCTACAAGGCAAACGAAAACCTCTAGCCTATGAAACCCAGGCGGCCAGAGCAGGGCAAAGCTCCGCCTCGTGCTCCAACCTGCTCGGGTGAGCTGGTGGAGACCCTCCCCAGGAGGCACCCGTGAGGGGAGTGACCACAAAAAGGCCCCATCAGCCCCACGGAGTGCATCCAAGAGAAGACCATCACAAGCGTCAGTGACAGTTCATATCGAGAGGCGTCTTGCTCGCTGCAAACAACCAGTTCCCACAGAGACCCTCCTCGCATCACAAGGCTAATTCCCATCGGGACGTTTCGCGCTGGCCATAAAAACAATTCCTATCGAGACGCTCGTGGCTGGTCCGCACAGCCAATCCATAAAGAGACGCCACCGATAAGACCACTGCATATGAGATTCGTGTCTTACTTGGTGATTCGGACCTGTGCTCCTCGCGTAGGAGCATCCCGATCAAAACAGATTACTTCTCGCAGGAGCAGACGGGGAGGGGCCCTCGTGAGCTTTTGAAGCTACCCTGAAGGCTGTTGAGGCTGCCTGGGCGTATCTTGGGGCCCCTTCGAGACTTTTTGGGTCCTCTTGGGGGCTTCATGGGCTGCCCGGGCGTGCCTGGGGGCTATCTCAGGCCGTCTCGGGGCCCTCTTGAGCCGTCAAGGCGCATCTTGGAGCGCTGTTGGGCGCTCGCTGGGTGCTCTGGGGGGCCCGTTCCATGCTTTTGTTGGTGGAATTCGGATGCCATCCAAAGACGATTCCTGGACGACGTTGGTTCAGACCCCCTTTCGCAACCGAGTGTTGGAGGATATCTCAAGCGCAACTGCCTTTTTCCCCATATCCAAAGATGGGGTTCTTGTTATTGGCGGACCGCGCCGGAAGGACACAGAACAGGACAGAACACCACACCCATCACTCAGACACACACGTAAGTTATTCCCCATATCCTAAGATGGGGTTCTTGATTCCCCATATCCAAAGATGGGGTTTTTGATTCCCCACTCACTCATCACTCAGACTCACTCATCAAGACTCACTCATCACTCAGACTCAGTCCTCACTCAGACACACCACTCATCACTCAGACTCACCACTCAGATTCACTCATCACTCAGACTCACTCATGCTCTCTCATCACTCAGACTCAGTCATCACTCAGACTCAGGCGATTCGCTCGTCTCAGCAATCTAAGGGGGGCGGCGGGGGGGTATTTCACGGGGTCCCGTTCGCGGAATTTTGTGGGGATGTCTCAGGCGGTTTGGCCATTTTCTGATCCAACATGTTTCGTTTTCGGAGCAGATTTGGAGGATGTCTCAGGCGATTCGCTCGTCTCAGCACTCTAAGGGGGGCGGCGGGGGGGTATTTCACGGGGTCCCGTTCGCGGAATTTTGTGGGGATGTCTCAGGCGGTTTGCCTGTTTCTGGGCCAACATCCTTCGCTTTCGGAGCAGATTTGGAGGATGTCTCGAGCGAGGCGCTCATTTTCACCCCCCAGGTGGGCCAGATTTTGAGGATGTCTCGATCGGTTTGCTTGTTTTGGTGGCCAGGCTCGTGGCCCTAAGGGGAGCCGCCAGGGGTGGTTGCACGGGCTCGTTCGCGGCCATTTTGTGGGGATGTCTCAGGCGGTTTGCTTGTTTCTGGGCTCAACATCCTTCGCTTTCGGAGCAGATTTGGAGGATGTCTCGAGCGAGGCGCTCATTTTCACCCCCCAGGTGGGCCAGATTTTGAGGATGTCTCGATCGGTTTGCCTGTTTTGGTGGCCAGGCTCGTGGGCGCAGATTCTTCTCAGGATGCCACAGGAGGCTCCAACAGGCTCCAGGAGGCCCCAGGAGACCACATGAGGTCCCAGGAGGCATCAGGAGGCCACAGAAAGATTCAAGAGGCCACAGGATGTCCCAAGAGGCTCCAGGAGGCCCCAGGAAGCTCCAGAAGGCCTCCGGAAACCACAGGTGGCCCCAGGAGGCAACAGGAAGTGCCAGGAGGCCTCGGAAGGCAACAGGAGGCCCCGAGAGGCCCCAGGAGCAGGAGGCCTCAGAAGGCAACAGGAGTGGCTCCAATCCCATGTGTTTTACGTATGCTCCTATCGATTGGGCCTCACCTGGAGCACGATTCTTTGATGTTCTACGTATGTTTCTATATATTGTCCTTCTCCTGTGTAAGCAATCCTACTTGTTTTACTTTTGTTCCTATATATTGGGCCTCTCCTGGGGCACGAGTCCTTGGTGTTTTACATGTGTTCCTGTAGACCCATATACAATATTACCTTTAAAAAAGGATGCACATATGGGGAGCTCCACGCAGTGAGTAATTTTTCAGATGCCTCTCTTGACATGAATGGGAAGCGCGTGAAATCAAGGAGCTTGGCAAGAACATGCGCCACCATAAAGAACGGCTGTAGCGCAAACGCTGTTCCCGAGCACCCAGAAAGGGTATCAGGTGGAGTTGACTACCCGCGTGAGTTCAGACGTGGCGCTGAACTGGCGCGGGTATCAAACCACTTCTGATCTTGGTCCTGACCCACTGCGGCAACTCGTCCTCATCCTGCTCGTCGTGCTCGTCCTCACCGACATCGTCATCATCAACAGCATCATGTACCATCAATAGCACCACTATCATCATCACTGCCATCTCTATCAGCATGAACATCGTGCTCATCACAATCGCAATTATCATACAAAGCATCAACATCACCATCAACGCAAATGCCTTCGTTACAGTCTGAGATGTTTGAAGACAGTGTTCGAAGGCTCGTTCGCATGTGTGGTTCGAGGGTGTCGCAATCGAATCGCTCGCGATGAAGCAAATTTGTTGAACAGACATTGAGGTTTCAGCTATTTCGCCTCTAGGGCTATCCTGCGAATCCTTGGAGGTCGACCCACGAAGACATCGGGTAGTGCGTTTTTACAAGCCTCATGTTCTGAAGATGTATCAGGCGAGAGCCTCTCGCTTGAAGGTGCGACGGGTTCGCGAGCTTGCTGGACATCTCCACGGCTTGAGAATGTATGCAGCGAGAGTTTCAGTCTCAGCATGAGAGGCCTTAAGCAGTGTTGTTCCCCATCCAATGTTGATAAGGATGCCTCAGACGAACGCCCCCAGTTTCGAAGATCCGAAGAGTTTGCTAACTATCCCAAGATCTAGGCTTCCTGAAGATAGGTTCAATAGCTTAAACAACAGACGCTGTAACGGAGGTCCTCAAACATGTGCATTGCGTGAGGATGCCTCAGGCGAATTTGCCAACCTGGAGAATCACCACCACATCCATCATTGTCAGCATGACCTTCATCGTCATCATCAGGACAGGCATCAGCATCAGCATCAATATCTTCATCACACTCTGACATGTTCGAACAATGTTGCCTCGAACACGTGTCCGAATGTATAGGTTGATGCTGGGTTGATGCGCTTCAACAACAACAATGTAACAACCGACCATCCCCCGGGTACTCCAAGACCGCCCCAACAAAATGTCGTCAAACGATTGGTTGAACATCTCATGGTTGCATTTCCGAATTTACGAACCTATCGAGTACGATGGCATTACCTGCATTGTGTGAGGAAGTCGGCAACGAGAATTTCTTTTGTATAATCAAATGGCGCTACATACGAGGTACTCCAACATGTTAGTTCCGTGAGGATGCCCAAGGAGGCACACCTCGTCTGAAAACATTGTCTTGGCAAGAGCGGGAATAGCGTGGCATCAAGGAGCTTGGCAAACACATGCCCCACCATGGAGAACCGCGCAGCGCAAGCGCCCCTCCCGACCGCCCACAATAAGTATCAAGTGGAGTTCACTAGGAGGAGGAGGGAGGAGGAGGGAGGAGGAGGGAGGAGGAGGGAGGAGGAGGGAGGAGGGAGGAGGAGGAGGAGGGAGGAGGAGGGAGGAGGAGGAGGGAGGAGGAGGAGGAGGAGGGAGGAGGGAGGGGGAGGAGGGAAGAGGAGGAGGAGGAGGAGGAGGGAGGGAGGAGGGTGAGATCAGACGTGGCGCTGCACTGACGCGGGCACCAAGCCGCTCCCGATCCTGGTCCTGACCCACGGCGGCAATTCGTCCTCCTCCTCCTCCCGCTCTTCGTTCTCGCCCTCACTCACGCCGCCAGCGGCAGCAGCGTCTTCAATACCATCACCATCAATATCGTCACGAGCACCACCACCACCACCACCGCCATGCCTAGCAACCTCGCCTGAGACACCCTCACTATAGTATGAGTGTTTCGAAGGCCCGTCCGAGCTTGTTCTGCCTGAGGATGTCTTGAGCGTGCCACTGGCGTTGCAGCAGAATTGTTGCAATAACCATAGTTGTTCAAATGTTTCGCCTCCTAGTCCATCCTGGAGGTCCTCCAAGGACGCTCCACAAAGACATTGGACAGTGCTCATTTAGATGTCTCCTTTGTTTGAGAATGTCTCAGGCGAGAGCCTCATTAGAACCGCGCGCGCGTCGCGCGAGCTTAGGTTCTAATGTGAGGGAATTTCCTCGTGCTCATCCTACGCTTGCGCTCCGTCGTGTAGTCCCGCTCGTCGCATTCCTCCTCGCCCTCCTCGTCATCCTTCGCCTCTCCGCTCACTTGTGCGAGTTCGTGCTCCTGATCCGTTTCTCTCTCATTCTCTCTCTCTCTCTTTTTCCCCATCCCCAATCCTACTCCGACGCTTTTGCTCGCACAGTCACCGACGGACGAGGGAAGTGGGGATGGAAGGCATGACGAGAGAGGAAGGACGGAAGCGAGGGACGGGCGCGGACGCCCCCGCGCTCGCTTGCGCCACAGGCCGCCACGGCGGCGCCGCTGGCCAGACTCAGGAGACCTGGAACCACTCGGCGAGCGCCTTCTGAACCTTCTCCACGTTCCCTGGCGCAGTCATCGTGATCATGATCTCCCCGACCAGGGTAGCGTAGTCGTCGAAGGAGTTGAAGGTAAAGCTGCCTCCGATGCGCAATTTCTCAGACTCCACATCGAGAACGTGCAGCGTGACATCGGACCCGCTTGAGATCCCAAACCACTGGTTGTCCAGAGTCTTCGTCCGGATGGTGCCCAGCTTGATGCCCGTCAGGAACTGGAAGCTGTCCGAGGGAAGAGCGAGGCTCTCGAACGCCTCGAACTGCGCCGCGGCATCGTCGGCGCTGGTCTCAAAGATCTGGAAGTACAGCGCGCAGCCAGGGCAAACGCCAAACTTCTCCGACCCGCCAGCGAACAGCTCCACCAGACCGTCTGGCCCCGCAAATGCCACGACCTCGGAGGCCCCGGCGGCCACCGCCCAAGCGACGCCCGTGTTCTCCGTGTACGCTCCGTCCACCACCGTCAGCACGCTCCGGTCGGCAAAGTCGTCGAAGTTCTCGCCGTCGGTGGCGAACGCACTCCCACGGACATCGCTCGCGACTCTGGAAGAAGAGAAGACGGCATGAACGTAAACTTTGGGAACTCCTCCCGGGTTCCTTCCCTTGGATCGGCGCCGGATCTCCCTCCGTGGCGCGCGGAGCGCGCCAGGGGCGGCGCCACCAGAGGTGCCCGGCGCAGATCCAAGAATCCCCGCGGAGCTCCGAAAGTGCATGTCTGTGTAGAAGTTCCTTCTTCGAGATGCCATAGGAGTGCCCGCCTGGCGCGTTCGAGACCCAGGTGGACACGTCCACGCAGTCCTTGGCCAGCGAGGAGGCCAGCTTCTTGGTCAGGGTCACCGCGCCCGCGAACGCCGACGAGCTGGCGGCGACGGAGCCGAGGGGCAGCTCGCTGTCGAACGCGCTCTGGGCCACCGCGCCGAAGGGTGGAAGAAGAACGAGCGCACAGACATAGACTTTCGACGGTCCGCGCGGATGTCTTGGATCTGTGCTGGACCCCCTCCCCTGGCCCGCGGAGCGCACGGGGCGCCAGAGGCGCCGCCAAGGCATCCTGCGCGGATCCAAGAATGCGGGCCGTCAAACATGCACGCTTGCGCAACCTGTTCGTCTTCGAGATGCTCTGCGTCTCCCTGTGGTCCTCGCGGCCGAAGACTTTGCGCTTCCTGTCGAACGAGCCTTGCCCGTAGACCCCGCGCAGCCCGAAGCAGCCGCCGTCCGCGCAGAACGGGTGCGGGGGGCTGCTGCCGCTGCCCCCGAGCGACGCGCTGAACTTTGCGGGCAGGTAGAAGGGCCACTCGTCGACGCTGTCGCTGCGCATGCCCATGTGGATCTCGTTGCCGGTATCGTTCTCTGGGGCGTAGCTCCAGACGCTATTGAACTTCTCCGTGAGGACTCTGTCGTCGTAGTTCGGGGTGGGCACGCTGACGCAGGCGAGCCACTCCTTATCCTGCGCCCAGGGCTGTACCTTGGAGCCCAGCGTGGCGCCGTCTGGCACTCGAGAGGCCCTCTCCAGCATTCTCGGGCGCGCTGAAGGAGGGGGGCAGGAATCGGGGGCGCGTGCACCATGGCCCGAAGGATGTACGCGGACGAGCGGCCAAAGGAGGTGTTTAAAGAATTGACCAAGGACCGTCCGTCCCGGCATTCCTGTAAGAATGTGACGAAATACTCTGAGAACCAAATCGTGTTCTAAAAGCAAAAGCAAAGCTCTCAGAACATACAGCCGATGCGTTAAAATAAGACAGTCTCAGCCAGAAATGTCCTGAGACCATGTCGTACAAGCCACACTGTGATACCAGACTCTTCCTTGCCGGGCCCATACGCAAGCCACAACGCCTCGCCACTGCTCGACAGAAGAAGAAGCCGATGATCGAAATCACGAGAGGGGTCCGTGGCATCTGGGAGAATCCATGATCGCGGCCAAGATACCCACCCACCACCCGGTCCTCAGGCTCCCCTCCTGAACGCCCCCGACATGGTCGTAACGAATATGTCCCACGTCAGCCTGCCCTCCCAGAGGGCAGGCAAAAGCGCCTTCGGGTGCCGAGTAATGGGGGGGCGATCAAAGATGGGGGGGAAGGATGCACCTTTTGTATCCTAAAGGGGCCCTGAAGGGGCCCCTATGACCCAAGAGGGGCACGAAAGGTGCACACGTTTCTCCCCCCCCATAGCGCGCCCCCCCGTTGACTCAAGCCCGACGCCTGCAGGTTCTGCTGTTGCCGGTCCGACAGGCCACGCCGGCGCGTCTCATTCTGATTGAGGTAGTGCTGGATGACCTTCTCGACGTCGCACGAGGGGTCCTCGGTCCGATTCCCCAGGTCCGTCACCTGGAGGAGTCCCGCGATCCACTTGTCCTTGAAGGTGGCCTCTGCCTCCTGGGGCTCCGCGGCCAGCTGTCCCGTGAGCTCCACGAACCACTCCGAGTACACCAGGCTGGCGGCGTACCTCGGAGGAGGGCGGGCGGAGACCACGGCAACTCAAAATGTATCCCAAGACCTTCCTCCCTCCATCCTCCTCCTGTTCCTCCTCCTGTTCCTCCTCCTCCTCCTCCTCCTCCTCCCTCCCTCCCTCCCTCCCTCCCTCCCTCCCTCCTCCTCCTCCTCCTCCTCCTCCTCCTCCTCCTCCTGTTCCTCCGCCTCCTCCTCCCCCTCCAAATGCACCAGTTTTCCAGGCTGCGCCCAGCCGTGGCGACGAGGGCCCCGCACGAAGGCCAACTACCGTCGTCTCATACCGTCGTCTCAACTCGCCCTCGTCTGGGTACCACGAGCCGCCGCTGTTGCTCGAGAGAAGCCCGTACTCCCTGAAGAGCTCCTGTAGAGGAAGAAAGATATGTGCAAACATAAACTTTCGACGGCCCGCGCGGATTGCTCCGATCTGCACTTTCCTCGGGCGCCGATGGGGTAGGCCCAGCGCAGATCCAAGAAATCAGCGCGGACCATCGAAAGCTGATGTTGATGGCGATGCTGGTCCCAGGTGGCTCGAACATACGCATATTTACCGCCTGCCCTCCTCCTCCAACTTGTGTGCTCCAAAACCCAGATCGCGGAGAGCCAGAAGGCCGTCCACAAAGGGCTCTCGAAAAAACTCTGGAAACTCCTGGAAGGAGCTTCTGAAAGAGCTTCTGGAGAGCTTCCGGACAGACGTATTGGGAAACGCTTAGGAAAGATCTGCCTGGACACGCTGCACATTCAGGCAGAGCGCGCCGAAGTGTCTTTACGGAAGCTGGAACGAGCTCCGGGCTATTCGGAAATTCATGCCGTTCTTTCTTCTTCGACTCCTCGAGCTGCCCCGGCGCCCCGCCCGGGAAGGCGGCCAGGAGCCCAGAGACCAGGGCGGCATGCATGGAAAAGGCGAACCAGCCGCCGCCCTTGAACGCGGCCGCCCTGCTGACGCCCTTGGCCCTGGCGGTGCTGCGAGCATCACTCAGCAGATCCCAATCCCAAATCCCCGACGATGTGCTGTTTTCAATCTGGTGACGTTTCCTCGTTTTCGGCCCCTGGAGCGCGACATTGGGCCCCGGGGACCATCAAACATGCAACCAGGACGAAAAAGTACCCCTGGGGGAGGCGTCGGGACCTCTGGGGCCGCGCATGGAGAACAAAAACACATCGTCGGACCCAGGACGAAAAACTACCGCTGGGGAGGGGTCGGGATCCGGTAGAGGGAAACAATTAGTGAACACCCCCCCTGCCCCCCAAACTCAAGGTTGGCACGCGCGGGGGAGACTGCGGTCGAGGTGCAACTCATCAGACCCACCGCCGACTTTGAACATCGGGGGGGAGGGGGAGGCGTTCACAGATGAATGTGGCACGAGTGTTCGCTATTTTTTTCCGAGGCCTGTCTCTCTTGCCGCGCACCGAAAAATAAAAACAGACAAACAGAAAGCGCTTCTCCGGTCGTAGAGGGAAGCCCCCCCCGGGGTATGGCCTCGGCCCCGCTGCGAGCAAGCCTGCGGAGCTCGGGACGAGGCGTCGTGGTGCGATGCCCGGGGAGTGCTGGGAGGGTGCGGCCAGACGTTAAGAGTGACCCTGGGCAAGAGGGACCTTTGGTGCGCAGCTTTGGGGGGCGCGAGGGAGCCAAACCCAAGGGCGCGACCCACTTGTATCGCATCGTGCTCGGCGATCGGGGGGAGCCCGAGGAGCCCGCACCAAAGGTCACTCCGGCGAAGGGTCACTCTTACGTGTAGTCGAAGGGTGCCCCTGGCCAGGGGATCCCCCCGACCTTTCGCTCAGTTTTAAAACCCCTGGGGTCCCTTGGAGATCCTAGGGGCACCTTAGACCAGAGGCAGTTCTAGCGACATCCGAAGAGGATACGTTCCGGGGATTCTGTAGCATTTGCGGCAATTTCGTGTCGTGGCAACTTCGGCGTTGTTTTCATCACCGCGGGGATCACTTAACCTTGAACGATCGGCAGTTTCCGACACGTCAGGTCGTTCAACATCGACAGCTTCTGGATCGCCCGCGGCGCTCAACGTTGAACGACAGCGGCGGGGTCGCCGCCTGTGGACACGACGTGGACCTACCTTAGCTGCCATCGTTTCTGCAGCGCATGTGAAGCATTCGGTTATCTGGGGAGTCCTGAAACTTTTGGAACGTACCGTTGTCATATCATCATGACCTCTTGCTCCCCTGAATGCTGCTCCCTTCGGGCTCCGCGGGACCTGCCCCAGCCTGGGAAGGGATGGGCTGGCGGAGCTGCGGCACCCGGAGGGAGCAAAACATGTCGATACCGCTGCTCCACGAACCTCTCCAAGGACGCGTTCTGACCTGGATGCCGGGGCGAATCCAGTCGTGACGACGAGGGAAGGGTAGCGGTATCGGTACCTCTTCCTGTCCTGAGACACCGTGGCCCAGTGGGGACATGGGGACGGGCTGGACGATGCCGACGCCGGCGAGCGCGCCCCAGGAGCCCCTCGATTGGAGGCTTGGAAATCGGCAAGAGCACCAACACAGGAGGCTGCCTCCACCAGGCTTTGGAACTGGCGGTAATCCTTCGGCCACCCAGGAAGCCACGGCCATCGAGATCGGCATCGGCCCTCGGGTCCCCTGCAGTCCGCAGTCCCCGGCCCTCAGGACGGAGTCTTCAGCCGCGCCCAAGCCCTGAAGTCTCCAATCTGCCGGGATTCCTGTTGTTCCTGCCGAGGTTCCCTGGCGCTCCCCGCGTGGCTTTTTCGGAGCCGCGAGCGCCCCCAAGACGGGCCAAGAGTAAGACGGAGCCGATACGTCCAGTGAGGATGAATCGAGAATCCCTGGGATCCGGCGTCTCTGGAGGATGTCTCGGGCGCCGCGGCCTTCTTAGAGCGTCCTGGAACGCTCTGAGAGCGTTCCGGAACGATCTGGAACGGATCTGTCCTCGTCCTATAGCCCCGTCCGAAAGAGGACCCAGAGAGGCCTCTGGCGGCCCAGGCGCGGGTTGGGGCGGCCTCTGGGCCGAAGGCCAGCAGGGAGCAGAGTCTGGCGCCGGTGCCCACCCCCCCGGGCCTCCGAGCTTGGGAACTCCGCGTCCGCAGCTGCTGCAGCAGTGCGGTGGCCTCCTGCGAAGGCGCCCAGGGACCCACACAAACAAATAGGCACACGTCCCAGGCCTCCCCACCTTCTCCCGTGTTTCTGTGGAGTGTCGTCTTCCCCCTCACTTCCCATATGTTCCCACATGTTTTCCCGGGGAATCGTCGACTGTTTGTGTCTGTGTTTTTAGAGGCCTCCTAGATGGGGTCCGAGCAGATGGAGTCGGAGGATTTCGCCGCATCGCCGATACATCGGCGGTGCATCGGCGATGCACTGGCGACGTTGGCGATGCATCGGCGACGTCGGCATGGAGGACATCGGGCTCCACATCGAGCCGCATCGCCGATGCATCGGCGACACGGCGCGATCCTCCGACAACATCTACTCCGACCCCGTCCAGGAGACCTTGAGATCCGACGCCTCGAACAAAAATGAGACACCGTGAAAAATCACAACTGGAGCCCTGGACCCATCTTTCTGCGCCATTGCTCGAGCCAGATCCGTCTGAGCATGCCCCAGGGCCCGAACTCTGGGCGAACACGCCCGGCT